ATCTGATCTTCCAAAGAAACAGTTTTCTTTTCCAACTTTTTCACTTTCTTCCTCACTTTCTGCGTTGTCTCAGCCATTTCCTTTATTTTCTCAGCATCCTGCTTCATTACTTGGATCAAGTCCGTTATTTGCGTTTGTTGGGCAGTGATACTTGTTCTTACCACTGCCAGCTGATTTTGTTGCGCAGTAATGATAGTTGTTACTACGGACATCTGCTCTTTAAAGTCATTTAGCTGTTCCAGTAGAGGTTGCATGACCTCAGCCATCGCCTTCGTCGTCTCACTGGTCATTTCCGGCTTCGGGGACTCTGGTTTCGTTTTTTAAATTTTCTCTGTCTTTGTCCCTCTTCCCCGCCATCTTTTTCATTTATTTACTTTTGCGTAAAAATTTTAAAGTCCTGAATATGCGCTTGACTGTATAGCTCGAATGGGTGAGTACCTCTGGGCAATCGCACATTTATTCTTCCGCCCCCACCCCTTTCGCACAACGATTTATGCGCATAGGAGACGTCTCTCTGCGCTCGCTTCTGCCGTTCCGCCGTGTAGGATAGGGAGCGATTTTCTTTTAAAATACGTTTCTCGGTTGACTCACGCTCATACTTGGTCTTCCGACCCCACTTTCTTCATCATTTTTCATGCCCGATCTCCTGCGCTTGATCCGGTTAGCTTCACTTGTACCTTTCGGTCTCTCAGCCGGAGGGACCACTGGAGCAAGGGAGAGCCTCGATTCTCCGGCTTTCAGCCATCGAAGAGGCTACCCCCTCAAAGCTCCTTGGCCAGGGTCCCTTCACCGGGCCCCTGGGGGGGGTTAACGAGCCTGCTCACCCCCTCCCTCCGCCGGAGCACAGAAACACCCCTGGGTTTTTCCAGGCTCGTTCCCACCCGTTTAGCTAGACTCTGGGCAGAAGTTATTAATCAATTAAAAAAATCCTGCCATCTCTGGCAGAAAGCCCTTTCCAATCAATGGACAAGACTAGACTAATCGGGTCAGGGCCTTTTAAGTTGTGGCCGTATAGTTACCCACTAAGGCCTGATCTTGTTATTATCTATACATGGTCTAGAAACATTTTATGTCAACTTGTTTTTAAATTGCAGCTGATAAGAGAGGAATGAGGAGAAATCTTGTGAGTCCAGGAGAATTTTAAAGTCAAAGTAGGGTTTCCACTTCCCAGGGTACTTAACTTTAAAACCCACTTTGGATGTGCGTATCAAGTCAAGTTTATTAATACGGTCAAGCGACCAGCCAATAGAACGATTCCAAGAATAATAATAAAATACACAATAAATACATAAGTAGCTAGTAAATACATATAACGAATATATATAAAACCTTTAAACGAATACAGGAACAATACAATATATCATTGAAACACACCAATACAACGCTAATTTGTCATCAGATCACTAACTAGGGTATAAGCTTCCTCTTTTTAAGGGCCAGAAAGCAAAATTTTGCCACAGCTAAAGATATCCTCTCTATCCGGTCTTCCAGCAAAAAAGTTAAAATCCTCAGTTCCGCAATTTTCAACTGAACATCCAAGGGTTTGAATTTGGACAACAATGGAAAAATTAACAGCTGTCTCTCCATAGCATAAAAGTTACAATGTAACAATATATGTGAGACCGACTCTATTTCAAGATTTGTACACGGGCAACATCTTTGTTGTGCGTATCATGAACGGTGCAGAAACACTGACAAATTTGGGTATTTTCTAGCCAAAACGAGAAGAAAAAGGGTTTTGTTTGAGGTCATCTCTTGTATAAGTACCTGAAAGTAGTACTTTTCTAGATGGTATGTTGCAACTGGTGGCGTCAAAACTACTCAAGTGGCCATCTTGAGTACAAAAATATCTTGGGATTCAGCCCTGGATCCTCCTGTGTCCTCAAATGACTCTGCCCACTCTCCCCTTATGTCTGGAATGACATCCCACAATATTTGGCCAATGCCAAGTGTTTCATTTCTTTCAGATCCAAATTCAATATCCACTACTTGCATGAAACCTTTGGCACAAGCCTTTAATTCTCACTGACCACTTGTTATTATCTATACATGGTCTAGAAACATTTTATGTCAACCTGTTTTTAAACTGTAGCTGATAAGAGCCAGTTTGGTGTAGTGGTTAAGACTCTAATCGGGGAGAACCGGGTTTGATTTCCCACTCCTCCACTTGCACCTGGCTGGATGACCTTGGGCAAGCCGTAGTTCTGGTACAGCTGTCCTTGAAAAAAGAGCAGTTTCTGTCAGAGCTCTCTCAGCCCCAGCTACCTCACAGGGTGTCTGCTGTGGGGAGGTGAAGGGAAAGGAGCTTGTAAGCTGCTCTGAGACTCCCTTGGGTAGTGAAGGGTGGGGTATAAATCCAATCTCATTGTCTTCTTCTTCTACTCTAAACTCAAGCATTCACAATTGAAATGAATACATATTCGTCCCACCACCACTTTCTAATGACGTTTTCACTACATCAAATTTTAGATTATAAGCTCCTCAGATCAGCAACCTATTGTCCGATACTCTAAAAAATACAACCCAACAACATGCATGTTAATAGTGGTACATAAAACATCAGATCAACAAGTTTACAAAATTAATATAACATTTTCAAAAGATGTATGCTGAGAATAAATATCTGCTGTTTTCCCATTCTGCTAGGTGGCCAAATAAATATCCCCAGATAATTGCTTTCCCTGAGTTTTTCTTTTTTAAAAAGGAAGTTGCATAGTGATTAACGCACTGCTAGCTTGAAACACTAAAGCAAACACCTGGCCATCTCTCATGTGGAATTGGAACACACATATGAGGAAGTCTCTGACAGAAAGAGATATTCTAGTTTTGTACTGACCAAATCTCTTTTGGGAGAAAACATTTCGAACACATTCCAGTTTCCACTGTCACAGAACATAATGTGCATCTGAATCTATGCTTAGTTCCAGGGAAAGACTTAAGTATGAACATTCTGGAAAATGCATTTAGGGCCCTGTCCACTAGTAGTTCATATCCTATGTAAGGTACAGTTGCCAAAATGTAAAACACCTGCTGTAATAACAATGAACAGCCACTATGGCTGTTCGAGACCCACCGCGGCCAGGGTGAGCTCCCGGCCCTAGTCCCAGCTCCCGCCCACCCAGCGGTTCGAAAGCACGCAACAACAGTGAGTAGATAAATGGGTACCTTTCCTAGGTGGCAGGGGGCACCCTCCTCCGTTGCGAGGTGTGGTGGGAGCATCGGTGGCAGAGTGACGAGCAGCGGCGAGATAGGCGGGGCGAGCCCTGGTGGCCAGCAAGTGTAACATCAAGCGGTGGAACGAATGATGGCAGAGACGGAAGGCATGGTGATGTGGAGGCGCAGGCGCGGCAGAGCCAAATGGACATTAGCCGGAGCCGTGTTGACGCGAGCCGCGCACCAGATGGGCCCGCCAAAGAAAGAAAGCCACCAAAAATGGGAAACCTACCCCTGGCTGCCAGAACGGAAGCACCAACCCCGAAGACCGCCGGAAGAAGAAGGAGGAGCCGAGCCGGAACAGCAAGCCCCACCATCTGGGTGCTGGTAGGCAGCCCTGCCCCTGTACTATGTGGCCGTAGTTAGGGAAAAGTAGTCTTAGACTTGTATGTAAACCGCCCAGAGACCCTTCGAGGTCAGGGCGGTATATAAGCTGAATGTATAAATAAATAAATAAAATGGTTATTTTCTTTTGATAGATTACTTTTCGCTTGTTATGTGTTTAAACCACACCAGAAGCCTTTGCACATAAAGACAGGCACAGATCTTTTCAGTAATGAAATAAAATGTATTTTTGCTTGCCATTCAATGCATAATTATTTACCTGAGAATAAGCTTCAATCAGCTCAGTGGAACATGCATCCAAACAGAGACAGACAGATTGGCATATCAAAGTACATTAAAATTTAGGAATACATCAAAAATGTGGCTGTCGTACAAACAGCAAGAAAAAAAACCTGATCAGTTTATAGTTTCCCTGATTTGAATTGCAAGTTGAAGAAAATAGTCAACATTAAAAGTTATAGAAGAGTTTTGCCACGAGAATAGCAACTGGACTTTGACACTCTCAGAGAGACCACGCCATGTAAAAAGAAGGGTGGCCAGAAATTTATCCCATGTTTTAGTATAAAATGGACAATTTAAAACATGGGAAACAGATTCAATGGCACCCTGACTACAAGGGCATTGTCTAAGTTCGTAAGGGATTTTATGGCATCTTTCAGAGAAGATGGCCGATGGCAGTGTGTTAAATCTGGCTAACATAAATGCCCTTCTTTGATGGGGGTCAGTTAAAAAGCAAAAATACATAGCTGTCTGGCCCAGTGTCTGGGGTAATCTCAGATGAATTGGAGAACAGGTTTTCCTAGCTGCCTCAGTCAGGCACTGAAACTGAATATCTAAAAGCCTGCATTTGATTGTATAAAATATTGTGGAGGCAGATGATAAATAAAGTGGATCTAAAAGTATTCCTAAGGACCTAATTTTTTTGGACTAATTTCAGCCGATTAGGTTCACAATGATCTGTCAGCATTAAAAAGGTAAAAGAATTCAGGTCAGGATTAAACAGAAGGCGTGCCAAAATTTGCTGGTCAAAAGCCAGGCCCAAGTTTCCAGGGACATCTGACCGGTTTTGAGACACATTGCGGCATATGGGACACAATTAGGAAGTCCAAAGTTAATTTGTTAATTGCACTTATCCAAATGGGAGCGCCATATAGGAATTGTGAACTAGATTTTGCGTTGAAGACTTTTAAGGCCATTGGGACATATCTATTGCCTCTCATGTAGAAAAAGCGGGCGATAGCCTCAGCACTGTTTCTTTATGCCAAACACCTTCTAATTAAACTAGATGGATGGATGACTGACCAAACAAAGATGGGCAGGCTTGGCCTGAATTGGAAGGAACTGGCTAGACCGGGTTCCCTTGACCGTGTGAAAGAAAGAATGTGCTGTGATCACATTCACTCTGTGTAATCCACCTTCAGTCCAAGTGAGAAAGGTGGGTTATAAATAAATAAATCACACATGCATGGAATTTTAAAAATGATAGCTATTAAGTTTATTTTCTCAAACAAGGATTTCATTAGCTAATACAATTATTCTTCCTTCTGTTTGGATACCAATATCTTAATCAATTGAATACAAGTTAAACTAGCACATTACTGGCTGCAAAAATAATCATCGATCCGATGCTGCTTGTGTGGGCTTCTTGGGAGGAGCTCCCTTACTTTCCCCAAGGAAGGCTGTGGCCCAGAGTCTTCTGAATCGTCCATAGCTTCTGCAAGCAGGACTTCATCCATGCCATCTACATCTTCAGAGAAGTTCCTCTGGAAAAGGCTTAATATGGTCTGCTGCTTTGGATTATGCTATCAAATAAAAAAGAGAAATGTTCAGGGCATTCTTGTTATAAAGGTGCAAATGGACGAGTAACTTTGCCACAGCAGACAGAGCTGGAAAATTTCAATGAGACACACATGCTGAGAATTCTTGGAGATTAAAAAGTACAGCACACCATCAAACTCTTGTCTCCCTCAACTGATGTGAGTGAAGAAAGGAAGATAGATTGACATAACAAGCAGATCTCTTAAGAGCAGGGCTGTTTTTGGGCAGGAACGCACAGGAACAGATTTACGGCTGGCTTCAGAGTTGGCCAAGCCCACAATAGCCAAAACCTCTGCGTGCATAGCTACAGAGGGAAGGCCTGGAGAGTGACACACACACCCTGGCGACTCCAAGGCGAGCGGCCGGGGGGGCGGGCGGGAAGGATTGGG